AACCCTGGAGACCTGTCCCTTCAGAGTGCTCAAAGAATTGTCCCAGGCACAGTTGTTGTGCCTGGGTGTCAGATCACTGACATTGTGTGGTGGCGATTGTGGATGTCTGTAGGAAAAGGATGTCTGCAATGCATCTCTGGATTTGAAGGAAAAAAGACCATGAAAGACAAAGTTTCAGGATCATCTCCTTTAGACCACATGAATGACCTTAAATGGCAAAGTTTTGTTGACTGTTTTTCTTTAAGAGGCTTTTCTTCAGAATTTTGCATTTCCTCAATACAAAAACATTAAACGGAAAGCCATCTCCATCCCCCCAGAAAAAGATAATGACTTGGAAGTCATTACTATAAAACACATCATCAGTGGGCCAGCCCAGACTGTGTCTCCCATGGTGTTACACTTTCCCTCCTTTGCTACAGGTTTGAGATTTTGACCATTTGGCTGTCCTGCAATGAAAGGCACTGAGCATTTCCAGTGCTCAGCACCTGTAGGACAGGAGCTTTGGAGGTGCTCTGTCCTCATCCTCTCTGTGATGAGTAAGCAAACTCTGGAGTCTTGCTGCTTCTCTACAGTGTGCCATTTCATGCAGCTCCTGCCAGCTGCTGGCAATTGCCAGAGAAGCAATACCTCCCCTTCTCCCTAGGTCTGGATTTTGGCCTGGGTAGCTCAGAGGGGCTGAAGAAGCTGGACCACCTCAGTGCCTGGTCTCCAAATACCATGCCCAGCACCGCTTCTCCTCCTGTACCTGGGACAAGCTCAGCTTTCCCCTAGCATCTTCTGCCCTATAACCATGTCCCTGGTGAGCAGATACGTCCCCAGGAGGGAGGGAGCTGCACAATGCTCCCACCACCCCCACTCAGTGTGGCATGGCCAGTGTGGTGTGACCGAGGCCATGAAGCTGCTCCAGAGACCTGGCTGGAGCCTGTGGCCTAGGGTGCCCTGTTCAGGACCCGTAAAATTCCTCACATGAGCTCAGCAACGCTGCTTTGCACCCTCTGGGGCAGGGCCTAGCTCAATGCCAGACTTGTCCTCACAGGCTCACAGCTGAGAGCTGTTTCTTGCCATGTTCATGCAGGGATGGCAGGGAGGAACCCATCCTCACCCAGGAAATGGGCCAGGGAGGGCTCAGTATAAACAGCAGGGTGCAAGGGGGAGCAGGTGGGGTGTGGTGCCAAGCACCACGCAGAGGAAACTGGGCTGGTTTGAAAACCTAACCTGAGCACTGGAGAGGAAGGACAAGCAACACACCTCCTTGTGGTTAGTGCTGCCTGGCTGGGGCAGGGGCAATGTGTTTACTGTCAGCAGGGCTGGTGCTGCTGCACTGTGTCTGGAAAGCATAAATTTATCCCAAGCTTTGCTGCTTACCATCCTGTGCACTACTTTCTGCACCTGCTGTTTTTCCTCCCTGCCTGTTATATGTAAGAATACTAAGTGGTTTGGGGCAGAGAACTGCTATCTGGTTTCTACTATCTGCAGGATAGCCTGGCCCTGGTACTGCTGACCCACCATCTGTTACAGAGCAATAAGTAAATTCAAATAGCCCTGGACATCTGAGCTCACAGCTTTCAGCTCAGTTCCACTGGGATCAAGGAGAAAGCAAGACCTTTGGACAAGGTTACTGCAGGATACAGACTCATGGAGAAAGCTGCAGCTCACAGAGAGAAACTAAGGATCAGAGCGCAGTGGAAGGCCTGTGTTGGGAGTAAGGTTTCAATCAAACAAAAGCCCTGGTGCCCAAGGACTAGCATACAGGATAGCCCATGCTCCCAGACCTCCCTGCCCGAGTTAGTATAGCCCTACTGTGAGCCCAGATGTGGGCTTCCCTTCTGATGTGCTGGAGACTGCTCTGGGCAGTAAGAGAGGGACATATTTATCTGTTGGTTTGTTTAGACCTACCCACATGCTCTGATTTTATTTCCAGGAACTGTTTCAGGGCTTTTCCATTCTCATACCACAGCTCTCCCTCAAATGCCCTCTTCCCAGCAGCACAGACTAACTGGCAGGTCAGCCCCGCTGCCTTCCTGGTACCCTTCTGGGACACTTGCCCCGTCAGCTTGCCAGTGTGCCCCCTGCATGGGTACCCTGCTGTCAGCTTGCCCAGAGTCCCTCAGCTTTGAGCACTGGCTGGGAATGAGGACTGGCCCAAACAGGTAGGGGAGGAAGGGCAGGGAGAGACGACTGTTGTGCCTCTGACCTGTGAGCAGGGTGCCAGAAGATGGCAAAATCAACTCAGCACCAGCTCGCCGGGCACACTGCAGACAGAGGCAACAACAGCACCTAAGCACTGTGCTTGTGCCAGGCCTGGCAGTACTGCCCGCACAGGGCCTGTCTGCCACGAAGCAGCACCTTTACTGTGTGCCAAGGGGGATTTTAGGACAGTTCTTCCTCCTGGTTCACTCTCCTTTGCTGGAAGCCTTGGAGCTGTATGTGCTTTTTAACCTGAAATCACACTCAGTGGGAAGCAAAGCTGGTATCACATCTTGGGCAGGCACAGATGAGTTTGAACCACTTCTCACAGACCTGCATTAGGACTGGTAACCAGAGGCTGCTCCAGAGATGGTGATTTAGGATTAAAGCAAGCCTCATTTTCTTCAAGTGATATGCAGGCCCGTGAGGAGTGTTGGGAGAAAGCGTCCCAGGGAATGGGCACACAGACAAGAGTCTTTGGGTAGAAAAATCTCCCATAGCAGCACCAAGGATTCGGCAGGGCAGCCCTGAAGCCTCAGGTTGCTAATTGTTCTATTGCCTTTGTCTGTTGCATTTTTTCATCAGTTCCTGACCGTGGTTACAAGCCCAAATTAGCTTATTTAAACCAGATGCCTGCAGAGAACCTGTAGTGACCTCAACCAGAGCTTCTGGGAGGATTCCTGCCTGGGTGAATCAGACTGAAAGTACTCCAGGGATTAAAAGGGGGCATTACCCCCTACCTCCCCAGCTCTCCCTGTCCTTTCAATAGCAAATTGTTCATCTGCACAGTAGAGGAAGGTGCTTTGGAGTAGCTGCTTTGCTTAAAAATGGCTAGCAGCTGCCCACAGCTTTACTGGGCATGAGAGGAGAACACTGCTCCAGCTTTAGCAACTAGCATGCTGCCCAGAGACCTGTCTGCCCTACCTTGCAAGTGCTCACACAAGCCAGTGGCACTTCCATGCTTTTGGGCTCCGTCCCTCTTGTCACATAAGCACAGCCTCTGGGGATGAGCCGTGGCCGGGCAACTGCCTGCTGGTTTGCCCCTAAGCCAGACTTTGGTGCTGATGGGGCAAAGCAGGGGAAAGGGCTGGACTTCAGGGCTCAGAGAAAATTTCTGGAGAGCATCTGAGGGAAGGTTTAATCCTGACCAACACTCAAAATAGGAGGGATGAGGCTGGGTGTAGGAGGAGTGCAGAACCTGGCTGTGCTCTCATGACAGCTTTTGTCTTTATGGCAGCAGAGCGGCCACACAGCTCCAGTGCAGCACCCTGCCACCTCCTCTATGGCCCCTCTTTGCTTAAGACTGGCTAGCAGCTGCCCACAGCTTTACTGGGCATGAGAGGAGAACACTGCTCCAGCTTTAGCAACTAGCATGCTGCCCAGAGACCTGTCTGCCCTACCTTGCAAGTGCTCACACAAGCCAGTGGCACTTCCATGCTTTTGGGCTCCAGGTTCTGCACTCCTCCTACACCCAGCCTCATCCCTCCTATTTTGAGTGTTGGTCAGAGCCCCTTGGATGCTCTTATGTTGAAGCAGAGTCAAGAGTTGTTGAAAGTTCATGAGTATAGAAAAGATGTCTGTCCAGTACGCAACGTGCAATCACTCCAGACGTTTCACACAGCATTAATCCTAACAGATTTATGCTTTGCTGTGGGCACTCAACTGCCCAGACAAACCCCAGGGAGCGAGAAACAATGCAGCAAACTGGGACAACCTGGCAGTGGGGAAAATTAAGGTAGGGAAGGGCTAGGAAGTGCAAACAGGAAAGACAACTTCAAACAACACAGGACTGTATGGCACAGCTCCTTCTGAGCTTGCAGCCTGAGAGTCAGGCAGCTCTTCATACAAAGGACAGTCTCAGCTGCCATCACAGGACACACTTAGGCAACTGGAGGCCCTAAGATCAGAAGGAAAGAGCAGACAGCCACCAGCTAAGGCAGTGAGAGAGCCAGGAATAGAAGGAACACAGGTGTCCTGAGCCCCAGCTCCGTGCCCTTGACACAGATTTGGTCACCTCTTTGAAACAGGGTCACCTGGGGCAGCCCAATGGTGGTTTCTGTTCAGGACCCCAAGGACAAGATTGGTGCTCAGTTTAGCATTTAACCAAATCACACTTTGCTAGGGGCGAGGTGAAGGCAGCAGTTGCAGCCCATTATGCAGGCAGTTTCAGGTCAGGGAAGGGAGGCAGTAGAGAATCCAGAGCCGGGTAGATGAAGGCTTCCCCTGGTCCCATTTGAGCAGGTGTGCCAGCGGCCAGACCAGCTGCAGAGGGGAAACCATAGAGGGGAGAGAGCATCTGCAGTCATTGCGCTTGCCAACAAAGCATGAAGTGACCTGCCCACCCCCAGGAGCAAATGGCACGAGCTCCTGAAGGTAGCCTGAGACAGCCTGATTACCAGAGCTTGAAGACACCACACTTTGAAGCAGGTGGACATGATCGGTCCTGCAGCTGGACTGTGGGAGAAATGCTAAATCACAACTCAAAAATACCCCCAGATGCCTCTCTTGCTCAGCATCCCTGAGGCTTCGGGACTGTGACATACCATGCTCTCTCTGCCCTGGTCTTTCTGTCCTGCTCTATCGCTCATCAATCACAGCTTCAGGGTACGTGGCGCATGCGAGCAGGCCAGGGCAGCAGAGATGCAAATAGACCTGTAGGGATGCTGCACTGTACTGATTAGCACAATCAGGCCATCGCACATGGTTTCCTGGCTGCTGGATACAGCTAGTCCCAGGGTATAAAACCAGCCCTTGGGCACTAGGAGACTCAGACTTCTACACATCTTGGAAGGAGTGTCCAGCTGTGGGAAGAGATGCGCAAGCCCCAGCTGCTGCTGGCCCTGCTGCTCCTGCTTTCCTGCCCATGGGCCAATGCCAGTAAGCTGGGGTGCCACAAGCTGCTGTGAGTGAGACTGCTGGTCTGGGCTTTGACCTCAGCAGCCACCGGCTCATCCTGCGGTGGGGTGTCTTGCAGGTCAGATTGTGGGGGGGCGCGAGGCTCAGCCCCACTCCCACCCTTACATGGCATACCTGAAGACAGAGATGTCAGCCTGCGGAGGCTTCCTGGTGGCCCCTGACTGGGTGATGACAGCCGCACACTGCATGGGGTGAGTACTTTGTACAAGGGCTTTATCCCCTTCTTCTTCCCCTAACCTGAGGTCCATCACTGGAGTACTTTTGGAGCAGGTTCCTCTTCCTCCTGTGCTGAGCAGCTCTCTCCACCTGCCTGTGAAAGGGGAGGGACGTGGGTGAGACCCAACCTGTTCTCCCCTCTGCTGCCATGGCCAGGAATACCACAGTCATCCTGGGGGCTCACAACATCCACGAACCAGAAACGACACAGCAGATCCGGGGAGTTCTCAGATACCACCAGCACCCTGAATATGACCCCAACACCGTGGCTAACGACATCATGCTCCTCAAGGCAAGGCAGTCCTGCAGCAGGCAGTGGGTCAGAGGGTAGAGCAGCACTGTTGGTCTAGCACGGTCTGGGCAGAGCACATTCTTGCTGTTAGCTCCTTCTGCAAACCATCAGCTGCTTCTGCCCATGGGTACGGGAGGCAGGCAGGCATGGGAGGGCCCTGGGAGGGAACCGTGGGCAGGGCTTGGAGCCACATGCTGTATCCACAGCCGCTCACCAGAGCCTGCAGTGCTGTATGTCCTGCTAGACCTCCCCTACCTCTGCACAGGAGGTTTCCTTCAGCTGTTACACTCATCGTCTTCTCCAAAACCTTGCTTTCTCCCAGCTGACAACAAAGGCCACTCTCAATGACTATGTCAAGACCATTCCACTGCCCAAGACCAACAGCGACCTCCACACGGGCACCAAGTGCAGCATAGCCGGGTGGGGCCTGATCGATGACAACCAGGCGACCAACAAACTCTTTGAAGCCAAAGTCTCCATCTACAGCCGCAGGAAATGCATCCGCCTCTATCCACATCTCAACTCTGGCATGGTCTGCGCCGGCAGCTTCCACGAGCTCAGCGATTCCAGCCAGGTATGGGCTGCCAACGGGCTGTGGGCTTGGCTGTGGGGCAGGTGGGCTCTCTGGTAGCAGGGGCTGCTGCTGGCACAGGCTTAGCTGGTTCCCAGGAGAGGTGACAAGTATTTGATTTGTAGCTCCCATGCGGACTAGCTCTCTGGCTGCTCTGACACCATGGTCCATGCGCAGTCCCAGGGGTAGAGCCCCAACTCGCCCACTCCAGACAGTTCCTCCAGCTTAGTGGGCATGTGGCGTGTCTGGGCAGGGAGCGACCGAGGTGAAACCTGTCCCCACAGGGAAGAGGCCTCTAAAACTAGTCTCATCTGTCCTCAGGGAGATTCTGGTGGGCCCCTGGTATGCAATAAGGTGGCACAAGGCATCGTTTCCTTTGGGTATGACACCCCACCCGGGGTCTACACCCGCATCTCCAACTACCTGCACTGGATCAAAAAAACCCTGAAGCAGTAGCAGCAGCAGCACTTGCTCCGGCATTGGTGTGGCCCTGGAGACTGCACTGGATTCCTTCCTGCCCCTGCTGAAGGCTTGACTCCCTCCTCTCCTTGGGAACCTGAGTGACCTGATCAGCGCACACAAGGGTCCCCTTGTTTCTGTTCTGAGGCTGCTGGCTGTCCCATGCCCTGCCTATCTGTGGCAGCCAGTTCAGGGCCACATTAAATCACCCTGGCAGAAGCAGGGATCCTCCCAGGTGGCATCAGAAAGAGGCTGTGCTACAACGGACCCCATGTCCTGCAAAGATAACCCTGTCAGTGCTTGAACCTTGCTGCACTTAAAACACCCACAGTAAACTCAGAGCTGCATTTCCCAGCATGTCTTCTATGTCTGCATTTCCCAGCATACCTTGCCCCAGGGAGAAGGGAGGGACGGTGGGTCTAGCTGGTGAAAGTGAAAGGTCAGTCTCTCGGAGCCGAGGCAGCTGTAGCCCTGCATCCGCTGAATGGCTAGGAGACTTGGAGGACAAGAGCTACAGTTGCCCTTCCTGGGGTTGTGGGGATGAATGTGTTGCAGGAAGAGAAACTGCTCAGGTAGACAGGGCTGGGAGAAGTGATGTGCACACACTTCATTCATCAACTTCGGCAACATCACCACCTGCCTGGGAGCAGCTGACAACCAGGCTGTGGTGTTTGTGTGTGTGTGTCAGCAGGCACCAGGAATTAAAAGCTGACATTCCTTGCAAAGTAATGACTGTCCCCTTTGCAGGGAGCTCGTGCCTGGGTGATATTGCACTCTAGCACGTAGGGCAGCAAAGACAGCAGGCTGGGTCACAGGGGAAAACAGGCTAATCTAAAAAGATCTGTAAGAGGCTCCAGCAGGTGAAGGGAGCTGGATTTTTTGGGGCTGTGCTGTTTCTGCCCCACCTTGGGTGTAGGGCAGGTGGCAGCTGAGATCCCAGGGACAGGGCTTTAGGATCCCAGAGAGGAGACATACTCAAAGTCCCAGCTGCTGCACACTAGTGCTTTCAGTCTTTGCCTCTGCCATCCTCCAGCAATCAGTCTTCCATCTCCTGACCAGCGGCACAATGTCCTGGGTAGAAACATTGATACAGTCTCTGAAAGGATTGTGCTGCAGGGGTTGATGAAGGACTTGGGTTCACAAAAGCTCTTGACCCCATGCCACTTCCTC